TTCTTTACCGCTGAACCACCTGGGAAGGCCATCTTATTAGAGTGGGGGGTCCCCTTTAGCAGAGAAATAGATCAAAGACACATAAACTCTGTACCTGTTGGGCAAATATACGACCAAAATAGTACCATGAATTCAAGTAAATTGTATCTTACTTATTTTAGCAGCATCTATATACAGTTAAGCCATTCTCTTTATTCAATACAAAGATAATGCTTGGCTTCCCTGTAGATTTTCAGACCCCTGTAATCAATCTGAGCCTGCTCCCCACTCCTCTTAAGGTTCTGAGTTTCACTGGTTGTGACCTATTGCTCCAGACATGTCAAGCTGCCTTGGATTATCTTAACATGCCACCCATCTTCCTGACTTCCTGCTTTCCTTACTGTACCATCTACCTCAAACACCCACCTGTCTGCTTCTCTGTTTAGAACATGGAGTCATGAATGTCAACAAAATCCTCTTAACCCACTGGCCTGAGCTTTCCCTACAGTTGATTAGTGAGGAATTGAATGTGCCATCCAATTAAGTGCTCTGCTCACTAACAGGAACAATGAACAGGCATGATTTTTTAAAGAGTATAGAGGGAAGGTCAGGGAGAGAGAGCAGAGGGCAGGTGAATGAATGGAGGTCTGTGGGCCTCAGGAGCATCAGAATGCCAGCACACATCCAGGAGGGCACATTGGCCAGGACCACAGTGCACTGATCAAGCCCAGAGAGACAGATCCAACGCCAGGCCCTGGCTCCACAATAACAGTTCACCCAAGTTAACACTCCAGGGTCACTAGGCAAGATGAGTGGGCATGGGAAAGTGCTACCCTGACAGGAGAGCCCAGGGTCAAGGGCCCATAGCACTCACCATGTCCCCAAAGGCTATCTTGCTGAGGAGAAAGGAGAGGGCACAGACTGAACCATTTTAACAAACTATGCTCAGCAGCTAATCAAAGAAATATTTAAAAATTTCCTTGCTAGAATAATTTTACTCGATTAGGCTAAAATTATGGGGATTCAGTTTTCCTTCTTTCTGGCAATGCACCAGGACAGAGGCTCATGTGGAGAGCAAACAACGGATCGCTTAGAGAAAAATAAAGTTATATTTTTCTTTACCTGCCTGAGTGCTACTGCTGCTAAGTCGTTTCAGTTGTGTCCGACTCTGTGCGACCCCATAGACGGCGGCCTACAAGGCACGTCCGTCTCTGGTGCAGTATGATTTAAATTTTAGAATCCTCTATGATTCTTTTAGCAGCAGCATAAATGTTAAAGTGAAAGAAAGTGAAAGTGAAGTCGCTCAGTCGTGTCCGACTCCTTGCAGCCCTGTGGACTGTAGCTTACCAGGATCCTCCGTCCATGGGATTTTCCAGGCAAGAGTACTGGAGTGGGTTGCCACTTCCTTCTCCAAGGGATCTTCCCAACCCAGGGATCAAACCTAGGTCTCCTGCATTGTGGGCAGATGCTTCATCACCTGAGCAATCAGGGAAGCCTGCATAAATGTTAACTGACCTGTAATTGATAGAATACAGTTTTATGTATCACAGACTCAATTATTCAGAGCACCACCACTCCCACCCCTGGGCAAGCTGGGAGGGCTGTAACACAAGTCATTGGATTAAAACAGCCAAGTTCCCACGCAGCCTAAATTCTCCAATGGGTCAGTGTTAAGAGAGAAATGTGTCTTACTCGTCCTGAAGGAATTATTAGGCTGCCTTTCCCTACACTGTGACTTCAGTATTCCTAAGCTCCCCCCATCACTTTTCCTCCCCCCACACCAATAAAAAAAGAGTTAGAAAAAAGTACATTCTGGATGACTTGATTTGGCTTTCAGTTTGAATAATTACCACAGTTGTTCTTTCTTCCCCCAGGGATTACCCTTGACAACAAATGCACTCACTTCTTCCAAATGATCTACTCAGCTTAGATATAAAAGTTATTTTGCATAGAAGAGGAATTTTGTTTCTTCACATTAGCCTAAAATTCTGCAAGAGCTCCATTTTCCTTCCTGATTTAAACATTTTATTTTAAATGGAAAAAATTTTTTTTTCCTTTTAAAAAATGCATCCTTAAAGAACAGAATTGTATTTACAAAGAGACAGGAAGTAGTTTCCTCATATAGTGTTAAAGGGATTAGAGAGAAGTCAGCAAATTAGAGGGACTCCAGTGTGGAATTGCACAGGTAGAACTTTGCAGCCTTCAGATATCAAAAAGGCTATTAAAAGAACCATAGGACTGGATTTTCAGCTTGTGAACAGACAATGTAAGTTAATGAGGCAAGAGGACTTTAGAGGGCATTTCACTAGAATGGGTAAAAATGAATGATCGGGATGGGGAATACATGTAAATCCATGGCTGATTCATGTCAATGTATGGCAAAACCCACTACAATATTGTAAAGTAATTAGCCTCCAACTAATAAAAATAAATGGAAAAAAAAAGAATGGATAGTATAGTGAAATGGATACCATAGGACCAAGAATGACATAGAATAATGGAAAAAAAAAATTGATACAAACAGTGAGAGCAGTAAAGTACTAAAAGTGAGGACTTCCCTGTTGGCTCAGATGGTAACGAATCTGCCTACAATATGGGAGACTCAGGTTCGATCCCTGGGTCGAGAAGATCTCCTGGAGAAGGGCATGCAACCCACTCCAGTATTCTTGCCTGGAGAATTCCATGGACAGAGGGGCTACAGTCCATGGGGTCAGAAAGAGTCGGACACGACTGAACGACTAACACACTATACTACACAAGGCTGCCACAGACTGCAGACACCACGGAAGCTCTGTGGTCAAGGCAGGACTTGGGCTCCCCCTTGAGGGGTGGGAAGAACCTGACCAGACAAGGAAAGAGCAGAACTTCACAAGGGCGCGAGGGAATAAACAGCTGAGCGATTTAGGCTACAATGAATGGACATCACCAGATTGGAACAGAAGTTATGCTGGGATCATATGCACTGAACCTTAGGAAGGGCTGTGACAACACAGCTGGAAGAGGATGATGTTCCTGGACACCTTCCTTTTCTCTGACCATAGTTGATTCCAAGTCTGGATAAGCTAATCTTTGATTAGGTTACAAAAAGTAGGCCCAAAACATTTTACCAGAGCTTAGAAGTTTGCTTATAACTCTAGTACAGAGAAAAAAAAGATATATTATCTCTAGAAGAGACTTGTGGTAGGTTCAGTAATTTTATCTTTTCATAGTTTGTACTTATGATATGGAATTAAACAGGTCTATAGCTCTCCACTGCCAATTTTCCCAGGGGAATTACCACTCCCAAATGTACACAATCACACCAGGAGAAAAAGAATGTGCTGACAAGGCATGCTACAGTGACTGTCAACTCCACAGGCACGGCACTATGATGGTGACTGGAGTGACAAAAGACTGCATGTAGTATGCAGTTAATATTAGGAACCAAATTTTTTCAAAGAGTTTCATTTTTAGAACCTGCATCAGACTTAGGGTTTCCCTGTAACAAGGTCCTCTCACTGGCATGTCAATCTGCTTTCTCAGTGGGGAGAAAGGAGCGGAGCTAACCATGAGGACTGCTTGCAAGTTTACTGCAGACCCCCTAATGCCCCCATTACTCTCGGTACACCCATAAGGACTGCACACACTTCTGAATTCAGCAGAGGAAATGGTTAAGAAGAGCTGCCAGAGAATCTCAGTCCATGGAATCACAGAAAGTCACAGCCACCTCTAGCTTACTTAGAAAGCTTTTTAAAATTTATTGAAATGTTCCTTGACTTTTCCTGGGAAACTTCTGGCCTATATTAAAAGTATATTACATTAGGAAACATTTTCTGTACTTAGTCGAATGATGCATTCTATTTGAATTTGCTTTACCATGACAAGGTCCTCTATGAACAGTGGCAGTGCCAGTGACACTGAATTCATAACCATTTCAGAGTCAGTCTAACATGTTTATAGCTTCTGATTATCACATCTCAGAAGGGAAGCTAGAATGACCCCCATAACTCCTAGGCACACACTCTAGCAGGTGTTAACAGCATGGGTGTAACAGCCAGCCAGACATGGGATGTGCCACACACCACGTGTGTGACTTTAGATAGGTTACCTGATCTGTATGCCTCAGTTTCCTCACTTTAAAATAATAGAAACTGCTTTATACAATTCATCGGAAGATGAAATAACAAATATAAAGCAGGTAGCATAGTTCCTGACACAAAGTACATTCTCTACAATCAACCTGTTAGTGTCTTATTCTGATATTTCTATCTTTTCCAAAAGACTGTATTAACTGTTCAATACTGTCTTTTTTAAACAAGAGTAATTCATTTTTGCTATGGTTGTAGGTGTTTCTCCCTGAACCTAGTTTTCTTACCCATGAGGATAATACCACTTGCCCTCTAATTTCAATGTATTCTAAAAACTGAATATACAAAAGTTACTAATAAAAATTTTAATCTGTGATTGATTATACTGAAATAATCTTGTCATGAATGCTGTGGATAAACAAAGGCATGTCAGATTCATCATATCATGACTCAAGTCCTGTTCCCAAATCTCTTCTAATGAATTCATTTTAATTCATTTTAATCATATAGTGACTCAGTATCTTCATGTGATAATGATTCATGGGTTTTAATTTGCCAAATGTTGCTTCTAGATTATTTGCAGAAATGTCTGTTGAGCTTTTTCTTAGGAAAGTCATGACTTAGCTAGAAGATAAGATGTTGGTTATTATTTTATTCCAACTTCAGCTAAATCATGTTTATTCCCAATTTGGACCATCTACTCATATAGCAATGATTAAATCAGAAGCAGTATGGTACAGCTGGCAGGGCATGGACTTCTGGGGTTTGAACACCAGTTCATGATGGGCTGAATTTTCATCATTTTACCTTTCTGAACCTACATCTGAGAAATGGGAATAAAACAATTACTTTTTAAAGGAGATGGTCTTAAAAAGAAGAGCTCCATCCCCAGACACAGGGATGGTTCTCGAAGTGAGAATAATTTTACAATGGAGCAAAACAGCATCTACTTACAGTTCACAGATGCCAGCTCGACTGGGAATGAGAGGCACAAGCTGCAGCAAGAGTCTGACACCATTCTGCCATGCCTCTTCTCCCTCAAACTCCCAGTACAAGTAGTTACACTCATCAGATGAAATCTGGTAGAAAACATACGTGTCCTGAAAGTATAAATGCTGGTCCACTGTTGGAAACAAAAAAGGTGAGGATCAGTTTTCTAAAGTATATTATTTACAGAGTCATAAACCAAGTAATAAACTGAAAGGCCTACTAATTACTAGGGAGAAGCTAGGGATAGGACCATAATTAAGTCCATTCATGCTTACAATCACAGTGAATGAAAAAGGACTTACTGACCAAGCTATTTTTATTATTTGAAACTTCAGTCAGCACATTCACATGGATTTTACAACACTTCTGCTTCAGGGACAGGTGAAATCAATAGCAATTCCAAGGAATTATAAGAGATTTCTTTCTTTTTTTTCCTTTAGTGTCCCAAAGCAGTACATTTAATTACTTAAATGGTATACAAATACAAAACTATGCCAAGTTTTAGATAGGGGATTCTCAACGAGGGGCAACTGTTTCCCTCCCTGAGGACATTTAACAACGTCTGGTGACATTCAGAGTTGCCACGATTAGGTGGTGCTACTGGCATCTGGAGGCTGGAAGAAAGGGATGCTACTAAACATCCTATCATGTACAAGATAGCCCCCTCCCATGCAACTAAGAATTATATGGCAGAAAATACCAACACTACCAAGGCTGGGATCAAGAAGTGGAGACACTTCCTAAAAATATTAACATAAAATGTTTTGCAAACCAGAAACCTGAGCCTCACAAGGAAGCTGATAATTATAATCCTCAAAGGCAGTTAACGGCTTTTCTAAATAAGAGCATCAGGTGCTAGGTGTGACCAACTAAGAGGACACCCACATGCCCATCTGTACCACTTTCCCAGAGCAGGACTTGGTATGCCTTTAGGCAACTTATTTTGTTTTCTGACCCTCAATATGTATAACCTAGAGAAGAAAAGAGCTTCCTAGTGACCCAGCACCTGTGTGGTAGAGGTAAATAAAGAATCCAGGCTGCTTAACTTCTAATTCGTCAGTTCCCTGGACTCAACAAAGAAAATAGATATTCACCATCTATTTTAGTGTCTGTGCTAAGTCGCTTCAGTTGTGCCTGACTCTTTACAACCCCATGGACTATAGACTGCCAGGCTCCTCTGTCCATGAGATTCTCCATGCAAGAATACTGGAGTGGGGTGCCATTTCCTTCTCCAATTTTAGTATCCAGTTAACATCGATTTTCTCTTCTATTAAACAGTTTATTTTCATAGATCATATTTCTAGCTGTTCATTCATATAGTCAGTTTCTAATGAGTATTCTAAGTACAGCAAGACAAATCACACGTTTAGAGCAACTAAAGATGTCCACTGATCTTTTTAAAAAATTGTGAGCATCATTTTGAGCAGAGAAGAGATGGGATAAGGGAAAGACTCTTACAGGTTGTAGTTAATGAATCAGCAAGTATCAAAAGGTATGAGAAATAACAGAAGATGCCACTTTCATTTATAAGAGAACACAAATATTTACCAGCAAAAACAATTTCCATCTAGATTGTAATATCTAGAAAATCAAACACATTTTGGTCAGGCAGCTAAACAGCTTCAGCATTCTGTGCCTTCAGAACATATAGTACTAACCTGATGACAGAATTCCCATGTCCAGTAGGAGCTGCCAGACCCCTATGGCCATAAATCTGCACTGGATGAAAGGACAGTGTTCTAGAAGCCAGTCTACCAGTTCTGACCCAATGCAGCTCCTCCTAGATAAAAGCAAAGCCATTCACAGTAAGACATGGTTGCCACCCATTTGTCAAAAGAAAAAAATGAAATTTAATACCATCCCTTTCATGTGCCTTTTAGACAAGCAACTCAAGAATAAATCACATGTACTTCTTATTCATGTTTAAGATTTCAGCTCAAATACCACTTCCTTACAGAAGCTTATCCTCTTATACTTTTTTTTTATGCCACCTAACATTTAACAATTATACATCTTTCCAAATGAATAATACCTGCTTTCTTCCCTTGAGAATAATTTTCAGGAGAACAGGGATTATGTATATGTAACTCATGATGAAACCTCAACATTAGAACAGTCCAGGCACAGAGCAAGATCTCTGAATACATTCAGTTCAGTTCAGTTCATTCAGTTGTGTCGGACTCTTTGCAACCCCATGAATCGCAGCACGCTAGGCCTCCCTGTCCAGCACCAACTCCCAGAGTTTACTCAAACTCATGTCCATTGAGTCTCTGATGCCATTCAACCACCTCATCCTCTGTCGTCCCCTTCTCCTCCTACCCTCAGTCTTTCCCAGCATCAGGGTCTTATCAAATGAGTCAGCTCTTCGCATCAGGTGGCCAAAATATTGGAGCTTCAGCTTCAACATCAGTCCTTGCAATGAACACCCAGGACTTATCTCCTTTAGGATGGACTGATTGGATCTCCTTGCAGTCCAAGGGACTCTCAAGAGTCTTCTCCAACACCACAGTTCAAAAGCATCAATCCTTCAGTGGTCAGCTCTCTTTATAGTCCAACTCACATCCATACATGACTACTGGAAAAACCATAGCCTTTACTAGACGGACCTTTGTTGACAAAGTAATGTCTCTGCTTTTTAACATGCTGTCTAGGTTGGTCATAACTTTCCTTCCAAGGAGTAAGCGTCTTTTAATTTCATGGCTGTAACTACCATCTGCAGTGATTTTGGAGCCCCCCAAAATAAAGTCTTGACACTGTTTCCACTTTTTCCCCATCTATTTGCCATGAAGTGATCGGATCAGATGCCATGGTCTTAGTTTTCTGAATGTTGAGCTTTAAGCCAACTTTTTCTCTCTCCTCTTTCACTTTCATCAAGAGGCTCTTTAGTTCTTCTTCACTTTCTGCCATAAGGGTGGTGTCATCTGCATATCTGAGGTTAGTGATATTTCTCCCTGCAATCTTGATTCCAGCTTGTGCTTCATCCAGCCCAGCCTTTCTCATGATGTGCTCTGCATATAAGTTAAATAAGCAGGGTGGCAATATACAGCCTTGACATATTCCTTTTCCTATTTGGAACCAGTCTGTTGTTCCATGTCCAGTTATAATGGTTGCTTTCTGACCTGCATACAGGTTTCTCAAAAGGCAGGTCAGCTGGTCTAGTATTCCCATCTCTTTCAGAATTTTCCACAGTTTATTGTGATCCACACATGGTCAATAAAGCAGAAATAGATGCTTTTCTGGAACTCTCTTGCTTTTTCGATGATCCAGCGAATGTTGGAAATTTGATCTCTGGTTCCTCTGTCTTTTCTAAAATCAGCTTGAACATCTGGAATTTTACGGTTCACATATTGCTGAAGCTTGGCTTGGAGAATTTTGAGCAATACTTTACTAGTGTGTGAGATGAGTGCAATTGTGTGGTAGTTTGAGCATTCTTTGGCATTGCCTTTCTTTGGGATTGGAGTGAAAACTGACCTTTTCCAGTCCTGTGGCTATTGCTGAGTTTTCCAAATGTGCTGGTATTTTGAGTGCAGCACTTTCACAGCATCATCTTTCAGGATTTGAAATAGCTCAACTGGAATTCCATCACCTCCACTAGCTTTGTTCATAGTGATGCTTCCTAAGGCCCACTTGACTTCACATTCCTGGCTATCTGGCTCTAGGTGAGTGATCACACCATCGTGATTATCTGGGTCATGAAGATCTTTTTTGTACAGTCCTTCTGTGTATTCTTGCCACCTCTTCTTAATATCTTCTGCTTCTGTTAGGTCCATACCATTTCTGTCCTTTATTGAGCCCACTTTTGCATGAAATGTTCCCTTGGTATCTCTAATTTTCTTGAAGAGATCTCTAGTCTTTCCCATTCTATTGTTTTCTTCTATTCCTTTGCACTGATCACTGAGGAAGGCTTTCTTATCTCTCCTGGCTATTCTTTGGAACTCTGCATTCAAATGCAAATATCTTTCCTTTTCTCCTTTCGCTTCTCTTCTTTAACAGCTATTTGTAAGGCCTCCTCAGACAGCCATTTTGCTTTTTTGCATTTCTTTTTCTTGGGGATGGTCTTGATCCCCGTCACCTGTACAATGTCATGAACCTCCATCCATAGTTCATCAGGCACTCTGTCTATCAGATCTAGTCCCTTCAATCTACTCCTCACTTCTACTGTATAGTCATAAGGGATTTGATTTAGGTCATACCTGAATGGTCTAGTGGTTTTCTCCACTTTCTTCAATTTCAGTCTGAATTTGGCAATAAGGAGTTCATGATCCGAGCCACAGTCAGCTCCAGGTCTTGTTTTTGCTAACTATATAGAGCTTCTCCATCTCTGGCTGCAAAGAATATAATCAAGCTGATTTTGGTGTCGACCACCTGGTGATGTCCGTGTGTAGAGTCTTCTCTTGTGTTGTTGAAAGAGAGTGTTTGCTATGACCAGCACATTCTCTTGGCAGAACTCTATTAGCCTTTGCCCTGCTTCATTCTGTACTCCAAGGCCAAATTTGCCTGTTACTCCAGGTGTTTCTTGACTTCCTACTGTTTCATTCCAGTCCCCGATAATGAAAAGGACATCTTTTTTGGGTGTTAGTTCTAGAAGTTCTTGTAGGTCTTCATAGAACTGTTCAACTTCAGCTTCTTTGGTGTTACTGATCAGGGCATAGACTTGAATTACCATGATATTGAATGGTTTGCCTTGGAAACGAATAGAGATCATTCTGTCGTTTTTGCGATTGCATCCAAGTACTGCATTTCGGACTCATCTGTTGACTATGATGGCTACTCCATTTCTTCTAAGGGATTCCTGCCCACAGTAGTAGCTATAATGCTCATCTGAGTTACATTCACCCATTCCAGTCCATCTTAATTCACTGATTCCTAGAATGTCAGTGTTCATTCTTGCCATCTCCTGTTTGACCACTTCCAATTTGCCTTGATTCATGGACCTAACATTCCAGGTTCCTATGCAATATTGCTCTTTACAGCATCGAATCTTGCTTCTATCACCAGTCCCATTCACAACTGGGTGTTGTTTTTGCTTTAGCTCCATCCCTTCATTTTTTCTGGAGTTATTTCTCCACTGATCTCCAGTAGCATATTGGGCACCTACTGATCTGGGGAGTTCATCTTTCAGTGTCCTATCTTTTTGCCTTTTCATACTGTTCATGGGGTTCTCAAGGCAAGAATACTGAAGTGGTTTGCTATTCCCTTCTCCAGTGGACCACATTCTGTCAGAACTCTCCACCATGACCTGACCATCTTGGGTGGCCCCACATAGCATGGCTTAGTTTCATTGAGTTAGACAAGGCTGTGGTCCATATGATCAGATTGGCTAGCTGTCTGTGACTGTAGTTTCAGTCTGTCTTCCCCCTGATCCCCTCTTTCTGTGCCTACCATCTTACCTGGGTTTCTCTTACCTTGGATGCGGGGTCTCTCTTCACAGTTGCTCCAGCAAAGCACAAATCTGATTTCGGTGTTGACCAAACTGGGGTCGGCTGCATTGCAGGTAGATTCTTTACCAGCTGAGCTACCAGGGAAGCTTCTGAATATATACATTTGAATAAACAAAGGAATAAATTTAGCAGTCCTTTATTTAAATGTTTTTGCCTTGATAAGACAAGTGGTGATTAACTTTGGTGCAACCATTTACACATTTTTGTCTCATTTCTTTGAGAACAAAATAATTCCAAGATTAGACCAAGTTACACCACAATGAAGGGTATAATGTTTTGTTTTCTACTCTTCAAACAGAGATTAAGCCTAATATTTGTCTCAACAATAAATTTGACTGTTAATATAGTATAAGCAACCCACCAAGCAGCCAGCATCATAAACCCACAAACCTGGATGACAGATTCTGCTAACCACCTTAAGAAATACTTTCTGGAAAAAAAAAAAGAAATACTTTCTGTAATTCATCTTAAAACATACAGCTGAATTCAAA